AAAAAAAGAAAAAAAATTAAAATATAACAAACACGATTATTTACTAAAGTTTACTTGAAATATATTAAACAATGACATACATAAGATAATCTAATTTTATTTAAATAAAATGATACAAAAAAAGTGCATAGTTTAGCAATCTAGAAGATCGCTTTCAGATCCTCCAAAATCATCAAAATAATTTCCAAACAAATCAGATGAACTTTCATATCCTTTATCTTGTTATTGAGATCTCTTCTGGCAAATTTTTGCTTGTTCGTTTTGCAAGAACAAACGTAGGTTTGGATCTGTTATCGAACTCAAATCTTTTAACAAAATTTTATTCTCCTCACGATATTCTGTCATTGCCAATTTCCTTTTTTGGATTTCGTAATTCAGTTGTCTTTCCTCACTACATTTTTTCATAATTTCGAGAATTTGTCAATTCTCTTCTTGAATGGATGTAAGTATTTTATACATTCTTCTTCATTTTGTTTTTGCTTTTTTTACTCCTATGGGTCGTTGAGTGGAAGTATTGTCAACATTGTCTTCGTTTATATTAAGAGAAAATGAGGACAATCTAGAAGATGTTGAATGCGTTGACGTGTGGTCTTTCGATGACGAATCTGGCTGTGATGATGCAATGCTAACACAGCCTTGCCTATGTAGATTGCTTTGGTTGTGTTAATGTCATCTTCAAAATTTTTAGCATCTTTTAGTACAGGCCAAACATGATCAAATTTGAACCATTTCTTGTAATTTGGGTTTTCAAATAATAGCATTTTTCGCTTGAAACATCTACGAAACAAAGACAATGTAATATGAATCTAACAGAAACTTAACAATTGAAAGCATACATTACAAGTAATACTCACAATATCTTCCTTTGATGCACCACTTGATTTCAGAAGTTCCACTTGCTGAACACATCCTTGCATTTTGCTAATGGTGACGTTAATAACTTGCATTTGCTTAATTAGAGATCTTTTCGATCGACTAAAATTGATAAATGAAGGAAGTGTGGTGTTGTATATTCATTCTCCACTCAAGACCAGAATTGATCCTTTGATTGGTATATACTTACTATTGGATCTTAGGAGATATCAAGATAGTCTTGACATAAGTGTACATCTTCTTCATGTGAGTATGAATAAGTTCGTGGAATAGAACTCATTTTTGAGGGGGTTATTGAGAAGGATAGATGATATTAACTTGGGAAGTTTGAGAAATTGAAGAATTTATAGAGAAAAGAGTAGGCGGGATAAGATCGTATTATATATGGATCAAACGGTTAAGATCTTGACGTAATCCAATCCAATGACAGAGATAAATTTGCCTAGATATTCTATTTTCAATAGAGCATGATAAGATTTGATATTAAATATAGATTGAACGGTTGAAATCTTTATGTAATCCAATCCAACGACGGAGATGAATTTGCCTAGATATCCTATCTTCAATAGCATAGGATAAGATTTGATATTATATATAGATTCATCTTCAAGAGGGAAGGATAAGATTTGATACTATATATAAATTGAACGATTGAGATCTTTACGTAATCCAATCCAATAATGGAGATGAATTTGACTAGGTATCCTATCTAACGGTGGACCAGGTATTCAACAACAATAAAAGGTAGTATTGAGGTTGAGCAATCCTCATCCCTCAAGCATACTACTCAAAAATGAATTTCAATATTGGAGGTCCCTCTTATGTGTTTGATTCAAGTTCATTGTCATTGTTCGATGGAGAAAATGAAAATGATTTTCCTGAAGATCGGCAACAAGCTATTACTAGCATATATTAGAACAGAAACCTACTCATAGCTCAGTACCCTAGTCAACATGTTTACCAATGGGCACATGGAGGCTCCATTCAGGGTCGTAGAAACATCGACCATCATTGACAAATCGCTGATATAATTCTCTTCAATGACTACTTTGCTGAAAACCCACGTTTCGATGAACATATGTTTCGTTGACGATTTCGAATGTCTCGAGGTTTATTTGGTCGAATACTAACGACGGTGGAAGGTCATGACAACTATTTTGCGCAGAAACGGGATGGGGTACAAAGACTCAGATTGTCTAGTCATTAGAAGGTAACGACAGTGTTTCGGATGTTGGAATACGACGTGTCAGCAGATGCTACTGATAAGTATATTAAAATAGATGGCTCTACCGCTATTGGAAGTTTGTAGAGATTTTGTCGTGCCATTGTCGAAATATTTGTTGAGCAGTATCTAAGATCACCTACTGCGAACGACATTGAGAGACTACTCCTTGTTAATAAACAACGTGGTTTTCTCGAGATATTGGGCAGTCTAGATTGTATGCATTGAAAATGGAAAAATTGTCCAACTGCATGGGCAAGACAATATACAAGTCGTAGTGAATCCCCAACTATTATCCTTGAAGCTGTAGTTGATTATGATTTTTGGATATGGCATGCATATTTTGGACTTCCTGGGTCAAACAATGATATCAACATTTTGGAGAGATCTCATCTTTTCGCAAATCTCGCTCAAGGTATTGCTCCTCAAGCTCAATATGGCATTCAAGGAAAACAATACAGCATGGGTTACTACCTAGCTGATAGAATATACCCAAAATGGTTTACCATTGTGCAAACAATTCGTGAGTCGCACGATCCCAAAAAAAATATTTGCAATGAAACAAGAAGCGTGTAGAAAAGATGTTGAATGTGCATTTGGTGTTCTACAATTGAAGTTTGCAATAATGAAAGGACCCGCAAGGTTTTGGGAAAAAAAGTATTACATGATGTCATGACTACATGCATAACATGATTATCGAGGATGAACGTAATGCTGATGCACCAGTTTAAGAATGGACATAAGCGTCAAGTCCAGAAATTGAGTTGGTTGAATACGAAAATCAACGTTTTTAAGAATTCCTTGCTTGTCATAGACAAATTTAGGATAAAAAGGCTCATACTGCACTTCGAAATGCATTAATTGATCGTTTGTGGGAAAAATATATGAATTTCAAGAATTAAATTGTAAAAATTTTGCGACTTCGTAATATCGTATATCCAAATTCGAAATACATTTTATTATTTTCTGATGGCATGATTTAATATTTTCGTTGTTGTGGTGTATTTATTAATTGTACTATATTTTTATATTTATTAATAACTTTAATCTTTTCCATAATTTAACGTAATTATTTATTTAGTAATTTATGTATTTATAAAATAATTAAATAGATAATATTTTAAATAAATAATTATAAAGAATAAAAAGGGAAGAAAATGGTTAAACACTGTTCATTTGGTGTAACTTTTGATGTAATGGTTAGAGATGAATTTTAGTTTGGCGCAAGATTTGGTGCAGCGTTGAAGATGGCCTAAAGGTTTGGTTTCTTGTGGCGAAATGAGATAGAGAGCCACTTTTATAAGGGAGATATTTAGTGAACAGTAATGAACTGTAGCTAAGGGATTGAAGTGTCAAAATGAGTGTGAAAAATTGAATGGTAAATCCCTAATTCTCTTAGAGGAGTGATACAAAAAAACTTTTGGGCTCATGAACAGTAATGATCAGCCCATTAAAATTGCCAAACCAGTTCCAAAAAGTCAAGTGTGAAAAGGTGAACTCAACTTTGAACAGTAGCTATTGGTAAGAGTCTTTTGAGGTACACGGATATATTGATCAATTTTTGTTTCTCCATTTTTAAATGACAAATCAATATTCCCTAAAATACATTGAGATTTAAGCCCTTGTTTGAGCTTGATTTTGAATAATATATATTTTTTAAAATTCTTTTCAACCACATATTTTCCTAATAAAATAATTTTACAAGTAAACCTAATTTTTTTCTATTTTCAATCGTATATTCTTCAAAAAATCACTATTCCAAAATTTATTTTTACCAAATAATGGGTCTCAAACAAGGGTTATATAAATCTATTTAAAAAGAATTTTTTATAATTACAACAATTTATTTGTATAAATTAGAAAGAAAAACATGAAGAAAAAAATATAGATAAGTATTACCTAAGAGAGAAGGAAAAATGAAAAATAATTATGCTTAGAGAGGAAATTTTTTAAAAGCAAGATGATGTCTCTATAATAGTCATAAACTTGCCCTGAAATTTATGTAATTTGCTCAAGAAAAAATATGTCCTTGGACTTTCTTTTGCAACAACACTAGTGAGATTTTAGAGCCCAACTGATTTTCTAGCAGCATTCTCCTTTTCTTTTATCACTGCTCACCTTTCTACTTCGAAAAAAATTTCCAATACTCTTCAAGTCGATTGCTTTTTGAGAAGCACTTCCACAAGTGCTCCAAATGCATAAGATGGTATCATATTTTCTTGACATACGTATTAAGCTCCGGTTTAGTGGGAATTAAAATCAAATTTTTAGTAAATTTTGATAAAAGTTGATAACATGTATGGTTGATAAATTATAAACTTATAAAATATGTGATTAAAATTAATTGTTGATTTCAATTTAAATTAAAATCTATTTTTGACTAAATAAGTATGACACGAAATATTGAGTTTCGTACTTGAAATTATCCAACATACCCCAAACCACTCGAACCCCAAGACAGGCCAACAATAAGTATTCACTTTCACTTTGTGCCAATCTGAAGTCCACTTATTGGTTGAATCAAAAGGGTCAAAAGATCAGGTGGGCCCACTCAAAATCACTTAGCTTTCATTTTGTAGAAATGAAAATATCGTTTTTCTAAAAAAATGAGTGATTAAAAAAAAAGAAAAAATTTTCGATTTACATATAATATTATTTTATGAAAAATTGTGTGATTGAAAATAGAAAAAAAAAAAATGAAATATAATAAAATTAAAATTAAAATTAAAAAAAGCTCAAACAGCATTTTATACACCAAATATGACAGTTCCTCACATGAGAAGGCCCCATGTTAATCGTGAGGGGCATGAGGGGACTGTAAATGTATAGTTCTACGTGGACTGTACACTTTGAAAAACCCAATATTAGTATTGCTTTACACGGTAAAATGTTTATCTGTCAAAATACATGCAAATTAATATCCCAGAACACACACAGATTCTTCCACACTTGTAAAAGGCAGCGGGAAGCGTATTCCTCGTGAGTACTGCTGTCCCAGCAAACTCAATATACGCTATTATTACCTATGCACCCCCCGCATATATATACGCACAGAGAGAGGGAGAAAATATTATTATTTTTTTGTGTGTGTGTTTTAGGAAGAGAGAGCCGAGAAAATGATGTGGGAAACTGGAGGATCACCAGCATCGTCTTCAGCAGCTGGTATAGGAGGTGATGGAGGCGGCGGCGGTGGTGCAGGGAGGAGGAAACCATCCTGGAGAGAAAGGGAGAATAACAGGAGGAGAGAGAGGTGGAGGAGAGCAATAGCAGCCAAGATTTATGCAGGTTTAAGGGCACAAGGGAATTACAATCTGCCAAAACACTGTGATAACAATGAAGTCTTGAAAGCTCTTTGTGTCGAGGCTGGTTGGATCGTGGAGCCTGATGGCACCACTTATCGTATGGTGAACTTTTCAGTTTTTTCCCTTTCTTTTTTAATTTTTTTTAACCTTCTCTTTCTATATATCTGTTTTTTTATTGTATATATATGTGGATTTTCATTGGTTTTCCTATTGATTTGTTTAGATCTATAGATTTGGGATGTGGGTTTAGCTTAGATCGCCATTATTTTGGTTCTATTTAAGAGGATTTTATTTTTTCGGAATTTGGATTTGATAAAATTAAAACAAAACTTTTTTGTTCCTTTTATATATTTTTAAGCACATTTTTTTGGTTCTTATTTTGATTTAGTTGTCTATTTATTGTAAACGATTTCTTTTATAAGTGTATTCTTCCTTTTGTGCTGGTATTTATATAATTTATTGCTCAACAGAACAATTGAAGTAGTTAATTTTTGGAGCTTAATTCCAGAACTATTTCCTTTAATCAGGCTATTGTTTAGAATAAACTGTGTTTTCTAGTTGTAAAATTTCTGAAATGTGAAGCCCAGTTGTTTCTTGTTCCTGAGATTTGGGGTTAAGAGTTAACTAATGAATGAGATCATGTGCAAACATTTCTTTCTGTTTGTGATTTTTAAGGTTAGAGCATTTCTCTCTAAAATTAATAGACTAATGGAACAGAGTTTTGAATTTTCTCATACAGGGATGCAAACCACGTCCAATGGAAATGGGGGGCACTTCAACCAACATCACTCCTAGTTCATCCCGAAACCCGAGTCCACCATCTTCATATTTTGCGAGTCCCATTCCATCATATCAACCTAGTCCGTCATCCTCTTCAATCCCAAGCCCATCCCGGCAAGATGCTAACTCATCATCGCACCCATTCGCTTTCCTCCTCAACTCTCTCCCTTCATCTCTCCCCCCTCTCCGAATATCAAACAGTGCCCCGGTAACACCCCCACTTTCTTCACCAACTAGGCTTCCTAAGCAAACTTTCACTTTGGAGTCTCTTGCCAAAGAATCCATGTCTGCCTTGAATATCCCTTTCTTTGCAGCTTCTGCCCCGGCAAGTCCTACTCGTGCTCAGCGTTTTACGCCAGCCACTATACCTGAATGTGATGAGTCAGACACCTCTACTATTGATTCTTGTCAATGGATGAACTTCCAAGTCTGTGCAAATGCAGCCAACATGGTTCCATCTTCTCCAACATTTAATCTCGTGAAACCCATTGCAAACCATGATGGACCTTCCCAAGATGTAGTGATGTCAGAGAAGGGGAAAGGTATAGAATTCGACTTCGAGAATGTGGCTGTGAAGCCATGGGAAGGCGAGAGGATTCATGAGGTGGGAATGGATGATCTTGAGCTTACGCTTGGAAGTGGGAACACCCGGGTGTAAGCGATTAACGAAAATAAGTGAATTGTGCCAAAACGTTGACGAAATCAAGATTCTCTAATGGCAATCTGTGTTGCTCAATGCAAAAGCACCGGCATTACTGTCAAATGTAAAGCCGCGCAAGGTAAAAGAATTTGGACATTGGACAAAGATGGAGTTGAACCAATTTCGTTTTTTAGGATGGATGGTTTTTCAGTTGGTTCTTTTAATCCTTTATTATGTTTTACTGTTATGAGGATTATTGTCTTCCGCTTTAAATTATTAGGAAATATCTTTTACAAGCATTACTTGTAGATAGTTGTCTTCTTCCTCAGTGTGAGCAAGAATTGTCTTTTTTTCATTGTAGGCTAGTGCGAATTTATCCAAAGTTAAAACTCTTTGTGGATTTGGCTTTATTTATAGATGCATTTCAGTATTTTTTTAATATTGATGCTGATATTTGTGCAATAATCAGACCAGATTCAGCTGTACCATCTGCAATTGAGGATTCTTTGATCCTGTTGGTTTATTCGATAAAATGAAATTTACAACAGTGAAAACTACTAAGAAAGTAGAATTTCCGAGATTTTGTTTATTCTAATCCACTGATAGTCATGTTAACAAATAAATATCAAACATATCCGGAGAAGGTTTACAAAATTCTCATGATTAAATTAATTCTTGTTTGAAGGCTGAATCTTTCATTCTCATCCCTATTTTATTTCTTGACATTTTTTGTTAAATGCTTGTGACCATGAAATTCGATTATTTTTCGTGCATGATCCCCTGGCAAGTTGGCTGCAGTTCCTGTATAATTGTATGACTTAGACATCCCATGATTGTAGAGGATTGAACCATGTGTCCAAAAGCTAGGGGCTGATGCATTTATTTATTATATTATAATCTTCTGTTATTGAAAAATCGAGGGTGTGAATTAACCAATTAAGTTTATGACGAAATTTAGAAATCGACCATTTATCCAATTGGAGTATATCTACAAGATAGACTTCAACAGATGACTATGAGTAATGGCAGCAAAAGGTTGAGTTAAATTTTTCGTGTAAAATAGTTGGTTTGGAGATCTCCAAACCATGACATCGTAAGCTGATTGTATACAACCACTGATGAACACTAAAATAAGCGATATTCACTGAACCAAGAGCACTCCCTCGAGTAAAAGCTTCCACACACCTCACATCAATAATCCAGTCCCTACCATCTATAGGTAGTTTTAAACAAGTTCCTTTTGAAGATCTTGAAACTAGGAATTCCATTCAAATAAAATCAACGAAACTATTGGAATTCAGTTAAATAACTCCACAAGACTGCTTCGATTTTATCTGGCAGCCTGGATTGTTTCCCAAGTACAGTCATTTCTATCATTCCAACAGCTATTATTCTGAAAGGAAAAGTTCCATCTCAGTCAGGTTCAGATTTTCACAGAGTTAGAGTAGAATCCTTCCGGTCCTTGCTGCTGATGGCTGATGCAATAGAGTTCTTGAAATCAAATCCACTCATCGAGACATAACTTGTCGCAGGGCATTAAAAATGGCATGCAATCCGTCATCATCGGCCATGCAGCATCGATTACATGGTGAATCTGGTAAAACATTTCTCCTTCGAAGGCTTGCAAGAGATGGAATCGGATCAAGTCTTCCCCTTCAAGCAAAAATCTTTATTTTTTCAGGTAAATTACGGCCCCCAAAAAAATTTCCACCATCCAGCCTGCTTATTTGAGCCCCATTTTATGTAGTCATTGACTTTGAAGGTATATACCGTGCTGCTCCATGGTTACCAGGGGCCCACGGAGAAGGAAATCTCTCTCTCTCTCTCTCCCCCTCCCTAGAGAGTCTTCTAAATTTGCAATTTGACTAATCTTTTATTATAATCTTCTACATATTCCCTTAGTTTTGCATTATGAAAAAGTTTTCAGGTGCATATATAAGGATTTTGCTATTTGTACATAAAAATTATATATAAAAAATTACATAATATGATGTAAAGGGAAAATAATGTATGAAAAAGTTAATTGTATTTTAAACTGACAAATGGTAGAATGTCATGTGCCATTCTGTAATCCATTGTTTAAATCTTTATATACATGTAGCAAGATTCTTTTTCTAAAGGAATAATAACAAAACTTGAATTCAAGACTTTTCGTCATTTTAATATATTGAATTACTTCATTAAAAGTTTAATCGATTAAAAAGAGAATAAATTTGATCTTTAACAATCAGCTTCTCGGACAAGTCAACTTTACTTTTTTCTTTTTATCAAAAAAGCCCAACAGTTGTCCATCCAACATCATTCCATCCCCTACATAAAAATCCTGATTCTTTCACTTAAAAGAAAAATAATAATAATAATGCGAGCACAATTTTCATAAACACATAATAACAATATTCTCATTCAAGAGTTTTGATCATCTCCTGTTTCATCTAAAATCTTAAGTCAGTAAAAAAGGGCCGTATTTATTTTACATAAAACTATTCTCCAACAAAGAGTTGATATGATATTTGGATGTCCAAAAAGGCATTGGCTGTTGTAGGGTTGATATGGAGTTGTCCCTTTTGGAAGCTATAATCATTTTGATTTGCTGTTGTCAATGACACTGGCAGTGTCAATGCATGTAGTGGTTGATGCATTATTATCCTTTTGATCATGTTACTCTGTGCTTGCCTGTGGTCAGTATTTCAAGTCAAAGCAAACGAACTATTTTGACAAAACGCTCGTTTTCTGTAAACAAACAGTATGATTATTTTCCGAGGTGACTTCGTATGTACCTTAAATATTTCAAAATATATGTACTTTGCATTTGAAGATAAAAAGAGCACTCAGCAATTGCCATTTCGCTGGTACCTTTGATAGCCTTTGAGCATTGAGCAATCAAAGTCCAATTGTATTGAAATGATCCCATGCCTCCTGCATTAATAAAAGCCATTATTTCAAGAAAAAAGCGAAGAATTCTTCTCGCCTTATGAAAAATGGCAGTAGATCAAATGAATCATGTATCAACTACTGCACGACTAATCTTTTTCCGGTACCTGCAGAATATAAAAAACTTTCACCGCATTCGCAATATATTTTTTATGAGAAGCAGCTCCTTTCTGTTGCAGTTTATCTGGATGTGGGCAGAGCAAAGCCTTTTGATATGACCGTTTCACTGAATTTGCTTCTATTAAATCAACAAGTGGTACTGGCTTCCATCCACTTCCAGGCCAAAGAACCTGTGACCAGTTGGTAATCCCATATAAAGCAGAAATAAATTGTTTCCCATAAATGGACAAAGCATAATGGAAAAAGCATAAGAATTCTTACATATTGCAACGTTGACAGCAGCGAATGGATATTTCTTTTCTTCCCAATCGACCATTGTTGAACCTTGGCATCTGAAGCCTACATTACATTACAGAGAATTGTTGTTGCTTTCCAAGAATTATAAACCATTAATATTGCATCAGAGAAACTTACTTTCACGTCCTCAGAACTTCCATCTTGTGTAACTTTGTCGTCATCATGAGATAATTCTTGGACCTGATAAACCATGAAATATAAAATGGTCAAACGTCGAAATCCATACTTCTCTTCCTGCCCATTTGTATATAGAGAAATGAAACTGATTGCAGTTGCTTGGAGTTTCAATGTCTTTCTGATCAGATATTACATCATTTCGATAGTTTAGGGAATATATTTTCTGCAATTCTTCTATATACAATAACCAGAAATTTAGAGATACATATAGCAGCTGGATGACCTCTATATTTGGCTACTTCCAACTAATTAAGGTAGACAGCTATAATTACAACATTAATTAGAAGATTATTGCCACAAATTACTCTAATTTTACAACTCACGCAAGGTATGTTTCTTGATCAATTAAATTCATATGTGAAAATCATGAATTCTAAAGATCTTGGCATTAGGGTTTGATGTCTTACATCCCCCTCAAGTCGGTGCATATAAATCTCTGATACCCAACTTGTCAAGTGAGTTGTAGAAGTTCTTGCTACATACAGCTTTTGTGAGTATATCCGCCAACTGATCTTCAGACTTAACAAATGAAAGTCGAATTATCTTCGCCTCAAGGTTCTGTCTGATAAAATGTCGATCTACTTCCACATGTTTGGTTCGATCATGCTGGATGGGATTACGAGAAATATCAATAGCAGCCTTGTTGTCGCAAAAGAGACTCATCTCGCAATCTTGAGTGAAGCCAATCTCTGTTAATAATCTCCTAAGCCAAAGAAGTTCACAAAGGCCCTTAGCCATCCCACAAAATTCAGCTTCAGCACTTGATAATGCCACTACTTTCTGTTTCTTACTCCTCCATGTAACAAAGTTTCCTCCAACAAATGTGAAATATCCTGAGGTGGATTTTCTATCTGTAATATTTCTTGCCCAATCGGCATCCATTTAACCTTTAACCCTTAAGTGATTGTTCTTCGAAAACATAAGTCCCTTTCCAGGAGAAGATTTCAGGTATCGAAGAATTTGAATAACTGCATTCATATGATCTTCACTTGGACAATGCATGAATTGGCTTACGACACTTATTGCATAAGCAATATCGGGTCGTGTATGCGAGAGATAAATTAGCTTACCGACCAATCTTTGATACTTGCCTTTGTCTGTTGGCACTTGGTTTGAATATTCTCCAAGTTTGTGATTTTGGATCATTGGTGTATCTGCAAGTTTACACTCCAGAAGTCCAACTTCTGATAATAAATCTAGGACATATTATTGTTGGGAAAGGAATATACCTCGCTTAGATCTAACAACTTCAATTCCCAGAAAATATTTGAGTCCTCCCAAGTTTTTCATCTCAAATTCAGCTGCCAATTGCTTCTGAAGACTTGATATTTCTTCCGAATCTCCTGTAATAATCATATCATCTACATAGACTATCAGAGCTGTGATCTTGCCTCGTCGATGCTTCAAAAAGAGTGTGTGGTCGGAATTGCTCTGATGGAATCCATATTTCCTCATTGCCAAGCTCAATCGTCCAAACCATGCTCGAGGAGATTGTTTTAATCCGTATAAAGTCCACTGCAGTTTGTATACAACCTTATTCTCTGAGGTTGCCATATATCCTGGAGGAATGTCCATGTAAATTTCCTCTTTAAGATCACCATGGAGAAAAGCATTTTTCACATCAAATTGGTGTAAAGGCCAATCAAGATTCGCTGCTAAAGATAGTAGAACTCTAACAGTGTTTAACTTAGCCACCGGTGAGAAAGTCTCTTGATAGTCTATACCATATGTCTGTGTATAGCCTTTCACCACAAGTCTCGCTTTGTATCGCTCAACTGATCCATCGGCTTTGTACTTGATGGAGAACACCCATTTGCATGCCACTGTCTTTTGTCCTTTAGGTAACGGCATGAGAACCCATGTCTCATTTTTCAGCAATGCTTCCATCTCTTCTTTCATAGCTTGTATCCACCT